TGTCGATGGTGATGTCGATCATGAGGATGCCGATGAGGTTGAAGGATGCGTACCACAGACCCATGTCATTGTGGCAGGTGGATGAAATCCGGTGATTCCCTGACACTCCATGCGTGAGGACTTGGTCTCGATATGTTGCTCTCCTCACCTTGAGTGCGTAAGGTTTGGTAAGCGATGAAGTTGTCGGCTCACCCTCACCCGAGCTTTTGTACGTAGCAGGCAATTTGGCTTGCAATACCAAGGCCAAAGTATACACCATGCGGACATTTGGAGCTTTAGGGATTGTTGTAATGCACCAAAGGAGATGCGGTTTTTTGGCGGCCGCAGTCAGCATGCGTCTCGAGCAATGTGGCTTTGAAGAAGCCGTCAGGTCTCTTGATCAAAATCGCGACTAGCCATCTAGCATCGGCTTCGACAAAAACGCGGCTACACGGCTTGGAGCGCTCATAGCTCCATTCGTTGCCGCCAACCTCGTTGATTGCCTGGTCCAAGAGGTTGGTCGCCATGTGGATGACGACAGGAGGATGCGATTGCAAGTGGGCTGGGACGATCAGCTGTTGCTGGTTTTCGAGCCGGGCGGACGTGTCGTGGTGGCCGTGCTTTGAAGACCAGATACGAAAGGCAAACGCCTGTGGAGGGCATACGATGCCAGATGCGACATGGGGACACGACGACGCTGCAGACTTCCTTGACAACGCAGGCAATCGTCATGATCATAATGTCAATGGCGACGTGTCATGGTATCAGTTAAAGTTTTAAAGCATGCTGCTTCAGAATGTCAAAGACAAGCCTGTGTATGCGTAACGCTTTTTTTCGACCCTGCACGTGTACATCCCACCACCTGTGCAAAACACACAGTGTACAAGACACACCGTCACGGAGCAACCGTGTCTCTCACGAGCGATTCCACTCAATCTTGGCATCTTTGCGAGCCGTCAACACTTTGTACACAAGACGGCGCCTCTTCGCGTTGTGGAAGCCTTCATCGAGCAAAAGTTTCATGCTTCCCCACGCATCGCGCCAACCTGTCTATGTTGATATGTCCTCCTGCCTGATAAGCTGCTTCTTGCGCTCAGCGGAAGCCTCACTGGGGTTTGACGTTGACGAGCCGTCATCGGAATCGGACTCGTCACTGTCGTCATCACCGTCTTGGTTGTGCTCCACCGCCTTGTCATCGTCGTTTTGGCTGTCGGCCGCGCTACCGGGATCCATAACCTGACTTTGATTGTTCACCCCATTCGTGTCCTCGATGGCGAGCGGGGCATCCAAGATAGCCTGGGGGACCGCCATGCACTTGTGCTTGGCGAGCTGCTTGAGGAAAAGCTCCGAAGACCACTCGCCGTTCTTCCCGATCGTCATCTTTAGAGCGCTTACAGTGGACTCGGGATCGAGGGCACCACTTCACTTCTCTTCACTCCGGGGTACGAGGAGCTGGTAAGGCTCCCCGCGCCGAAAGGCGCGCCCCTGTTGAAGGGCCTTGAAGGGAAGGATGTCCGTCTTCCTCGGTCACTACTCTCTTCTTCCTCAGGGTTCTGGCAGCGTGTCAAGCTCCCCGGCCACTTAGGCCCCGCTTCGTGGGGCACGTGTGCTGGGGTGTGAAAACTTCACCACTTGCTTGGCGTTGGGGTTTTCACCTCTTTCTTTCATTTGGCGTAGGGCACGTGTCAAACCCCTGGCTTTGTGGCCCCCCATGTGTTATGGGGTAGCAAGGGAGCAAGTAGTTTCGGGTATGATGTGAAAACTCTCGCTCTCTCTCTCTTTCTTTCTCCAGGGCTGGGGGTGACAGGATTGCTCCCCTCACCCGCGCGCGTCAGCGCCCCCGCCTGTCTCTCTCTCTCTCTCTCTCTCTCTTTCGTCAGGGTTAGGGGCAGGAGGGGCAAGCCCCCCTAGCCTCTCTCTCTCTCTATCTCTTTTCTTTCTTTCGCCAGGGTTAGGGACAATGGAGTTGCCCCCCCCTGCCCGCGCGTATGTGCGCCCCCGACTGTTGCGGGTGCCAGGCTCTCTCTTTGCTTTGCTAGGGGTGAGAGGAGTGGGCAGCCCCCACTCTCCGCGCGTCCGCGCTCCCCACCTTTCTCTCGCTCCCTCTCTTCTTCTTACAGTATTTTTCGGGGATCGCTCTGTCTCTCTCGGGCATGAGGAGCTGGATCTTCCTCTCCCTGTCTCTGTTTGGTTCCCTCTCTCGTGCAAGAAACCTCCTGATATGCCCTGATAATTAGCGTTCCACTCCGCGGGCGCTCAAATTTATGAAACTCCATTGCTAGTGGCCCCGTGCACATCCACACCTTGCCTACACACTCAGCAGCTTCTTATCCCCACAGAATGACGCAGAAGACAATGAAGGACCCGATGCCTGCCTGAGAATGTCTAAAGGGCCGCGATGATGCTTCAAGAGGTATAGCACAACGGCTGCAGTTCTCATGGCCTGCCGAGATACGCAAACACCCACACATGCACACAGAGACAGAGCAGAAGCTGTCCGGACTGCATCTGCTGAGAGTTTGGCATCGGACCAAAGGCCATGCATCTTGCTGGAGCCATCTTCTCCCGCTCCGATGCCATCAGCCTCAGTTAGCTCGAACACTCTGCGACACACTGCATGCCATATCCGCTGCATCATACTCATGTTTCTCTCCACTCCACGAATCTCGCACCCGCGCAGACTCATCCAGGAACAGCGCGCAGGACAGATGCCATACAGGTCTGAGAAGAGCACTGGAGGGCACGGCTGTGGACCGCAAAGCAGCTCGTGCCTTTGACCCGAGGACGCCCACGGCGAAATCAGAGCCAAGAAACATCTGCGCCTGTGAGCGGGCATTTTCCGGAAGCGGCCACCCCAGTCGTGATAGTCCTGATGCACGCTGCTGCCCTGATCGTCTATTCGGCTATTGCGCATCTCCGCCTGCCTCCAGTTCGTCGATCTTCCGCAAATGCACCTGGCTCAACAGGCATTCGTGCGGCATCCAGCTGTCATCCAGAGACCGCCACCTCTGTGGCACGGTCGCTGACACTGCTGTTCTGCAGCCTGCGCTCGGCATGTGCACAAAAGCCACTGAACATGGCCAGTGCCGCCTTGACAAGGCACTGCGTATGACCTCATGGCATCTCAACGAAGCGCTTCTGCAGGGATTGCGAGACAGACTTCTCTGGGTGTGGAGTCTCAAAGCATGCTGCTACCTTCAAGTCCGCAGCAGTATTCCGGGTTCTACACTGCTGCATTGAAACAAAAACGATAGACCGCCGAATGATGTGGGATTTGCACCGGCTGCACATCAGATAACACTGCAAGTGAGTGGGGCCTAGAACAAGGAATTCGGGCAGCACACGGCTAGTAGCTTAGCGCTCAGTTTGCGGTTCTGTACAGGAACCTGCTGCCTAGTTGCCTCCTTCTGGTCCCCGCGCTCCACGATCAACCACCGAGCACCCTGCCCGCATGGCGTCGTCAACTGCACTTTGTCCGACACGAGGCATGAGATGGCCTCTGCCACCAGGAAGCTTGCCGCACGTGCCCGAGCATGTGGATGCCTTGTGGCTGGACATTCCAGACTGATTAATCAGGCGGACCCACCGCAAAGCAACTTCCAACAACATGAGGTTTTTGCGTCGAGTTTGCATTCATCACGGACAGCCTGAGATGCGAGGAGCATGACTGCGGACATGCATGCTGACAATCTGTCATCGCTGTGGTGGGCGAGAAGTCTGTGAATGGTGCTGCTCTCTGAGGGAGTTGTTCTCAACGAAAGCCAATGGTAGAGCCTCAGGAAGCAAGATTCATGGCGGCTGTACATCCAAGGCGCTCCAGAATCTCGGCATCACGAGCTACGAAGTGCACACTGAGCGCTGGGCCCGCATTGGAGGTGCGTTCCCCGGATCTTCCTTTCCCGACTGAAGTCTGCGGACCTCTCGAGCACCAGCCTTGACTCTACATCTCGGGTGCTCCTGCTCTGCCTCATCAATGTCGCGAAATCCTCGGAAGTATCCCTTAATGCTGCCATGGCCTCGTCGGAGGGACTTTCCCGAGAGCGAGCGCAGGGCGGGCGCGGAGGGCGCGCTGAGAGCGCTGCCGTGCCTCTCTGCTCCCGGAGGTGCGGGTCGGGGCCGCTTCTTGGCCAAGTCCCACTCGGCCTCTCGCGACTTGGGATCTGCGAATTCAACCGCTCCGAGCTTTCCGACTGCGATTTGTGACCTGCCAGGACTCCAGCATGTCTTCCGCGCCTAAGGGAAACCGGGGGGACAAACGAACGCTTGCAAGCAGAATTCATTGATCCCTGATGTGCCACTCTTGTCCAGGTCTGCGGTATCGACTTCATTCCAATCTCGCATTTCTGACTGATATGCATCTGAGAATTCGGAGGACGGACCGTTTCTCGAGCGGATCACAAAGTCAAAGCGGAGGAACATCGAATGAAAGAAATCGGAGAAGTGAGGGCGGGAAAAGAAAAAAATGAAGGGATTCTTTCGCCCGAATGGCAACGGTGAAAAACAAGGGTGTGATCAACAGGCCAGATCCAATGCAGTCGATCGATTGAAGAATGAGAAGCTGTGAGTTGTCACTTCGCACACAAGTGTGCTACGCTACAGAATTTCCCGGGCAGCGCATGCTAGGCACCCTGCTGATCTGCAGGCCGTGAGTGATCAGGCCATTTATCAATCCGACCGTCATCTCCTCTTGAGACGAAAGACTTCAGCACAAGAATGCTTCTGATCTGCGAGGCTGCCAGGAGGCAGCCTCAAGACTGAGTGCGAGACGCAGTCGTCAGTGTACATGCCACAGGCCTCTGCACAGCCGTGGCATTTGCAGGGAATCAGCATAGCGCCCTTCGCTGGACCGTGGTTGCCATCCACGGAACGCTCTTAGAAGCTGTGGGCCTTCTTCGGACCTCTTGATTCATTCATTATGGGGGGGGTAGCAATGCCAGGCACGTTACAACATCGCGCACACTGCGTTGGCGTGAGCCGCCAACAACGGCTTTTTCCAATTCATCGCGCACGTGCGGGAATGCTTCAGCCCCTCATTTTGCGTGGCCTCACGTGAGCCTGGCCACAGGAGCCCTCTTCCAACAGAACCGTGAGGTGAGAAAGTCGTCGTGTTCACGGGCATGCCGAGGAGGCGTCATCGCCGACACACTCCGCTGCGGTGCAAGTGGTACAGGATCGCGCTGATACCGAGTCGCTGAAGGGACATTCCAGCAATGCTGGCGTGTGCCGCTGTCCATAAATGGAACACAGTTGCTGGCTGGCGCATGCTGGCACCCTGGTTGCAAGCTTTCTCTTCCACCGTCACTTGCCATGAGGCACGAAGCACAGCTCAGTCAAGTGCAGCATCAAGAAACTGCCTGGTCTGAATGCTTCAGGTGAGGTACAGAAACTAAGCAAGCGCGATAGACTTGATGCCATTCAAGTCGATCTCTTCACAGTTAAAACTTGGGCAAAGTGACAGGAAGACGGACAGAACGACATAGAAGGTGCTGAGCTCAACTGCGATAGTCTTGCCAACTCTCAGAGAAGGGACACATGCCACGAGAGCCGCACCTTACTAGTGGTTCATAAGTTACGGATGATCGTACCCTCTACATGTAAGCAGCTTCCGCAAGCCAACACTCCGTGCGGCCAGGTGTCCAGCGACGAACGGAGGTCCCGCAAGCACCAAAGTGGAGTAGAAGATGAACGACCAGGACTTCCAAGCTTTCACCTTGAGCTTGGTTTCAGTGATGTCCTCCTTCTCCTCCTCGCACAGCAGGCTCCGTGCGTGCAGTACCTCGGATCATCCAGCATCCCACTCCAATGAAGCGACACAAATACGGCATCGCTATGTGTGACCGGTCGAGAGACGATATCGGCAATCTCGTCCTCTGATGCGTGCTCCGAGCGAGCCTTCTGGTCAGAAGTACAGCATGGGCACCAACACCAGAAACCAAACCTCAGGCGGCAGGCAGCTGAAGCAAGGCTTCATTCTACGCCACAACGGTACATGTTCGCAATCCAGGCGTGAGCAGTTCCGGGGAGCCCGTAGTAAAGCACAAGCCGTCGAAACCAGGCACTGGAAGATGGGCCAAAGTCTTGATACGGCAAGGTCACCTCCACTTCCACCGCCCATATCTCTGATCTCAGAACTTACAAGACGTATGGTGTAGAAATGAAACTCGTGTTCGCCTCCTCGCCAGCCGGGATGTCGCGGCTGGCGGCAATGATGCCTCATGTCAGAGAAGCAGAAGCATTGCCAGAAGCAGGGGCTGATCTTCCGTTCGGACGAGGGGCTGACCTTCTCGTCTGCATCGGTCAGTCTACGCGCGTTCGGTCTGCAAGAGTGGTTGAAGACCGTCCCCAGGCCGTACAGTGCTTCGAATCTGTTGAGACGTGCACGTAGCGTTCGCATGAAGCGAGGCAACCTCGACTTCCACAAGGCTCTGCAAGGGGAATCGAGAAGCCTCATCTCTGGACCAAGTGCCGAAAGGCAGCTTCTCAAGCAAGTGTCCAGGAATCAAGAAGAGTGGGAAGAAGTATAGAGATGCAGGAACAGCCTTGGGCGGCGATTCACCTGTAGCATGACTGCTGGTTGGAAGGACGGAAGGCCCTTTTAGGCTCAGCGTTGTGAGGCCAACAACAGTGCGCTGGTCAAGATCAGACTTTGCACACAGCCCCTGCTTGCTGCAGGGCTGCCTTGACAGTTCGCGGATGATAACAAGGCGGCACGTCACACTTCAAGGGCAACGGCTTCTCAATGAGGAGGACAGAATGTGCGGGCACATCGTGCTCCACGACGAAGGAGTACCTTGTGCTTGCTTCTCGATAAACGAGCCGCAGCCCTTGGGTGCACTGAGCTGCAGCTCAGGGTCCCTCGAACTGGTTCCTTCTTCAGGCGGATGGCGCCCACGAAGCAACAACCCACGCAGCGCTGAGCTTCACAGGAAGCAACCACCTCCCCCCACGAAGCGATCTCCATGGCAACCTTCGGAGCTGCCTGAAGCCGTGCATCACCTATCCTCAAAGCGAAGACTTGGCCAAAACAGCGGGCGGCAGTGAACCCAGAAATCGACGAGATGCAATCGGTGAACCGAGTTCCAGACGGAGTTCGTGTTCCATTCAGACCTCTCAAAACATCAGATTGCTGCCTACACTCCTGTCTCCCGAAACCCACCTGCGCATGGGATTCTTGGGCCACTGATCGAATGTCACAAATTCCCGGATCCAGTACCTCGCATCTGACGACGGCAAGGCGGACATGGCCGTTCCCTGAAATACTCAGCGCTTGCAAACGTCGCGGATACCACTTCGGTGGTCTACTGCAGCCCTGGGCAACTCTCATGACATTGGGCACCCGGCGCATCTTGCATCTCGATGATGGCCCCGAAAGCATCACCAATGGCATCCCCAATCAGAAGCTGCGTCGCCTAGGCGAACAGCACGAGAGTCCTCCAGAAGCTTTGAAATGCGACAGGTATTTTCACTTCGCAGCATCCCGGTCTAATGGTCTAATGCTTGGAATGCCGGCTTTTCCGAACCTGCATGCACACACCCCGAACGCTCTGACAAACCTGTTCAGTCCTGCCTTTGCTGGGTTCAGTTCCCTTTCCCTTTCCCTTTGAATTTTTGTGTTCGAGCCGGGGTCCCTAATCCTCCCTGTGTAAGTGTAGACGATTGGCTTCAGCCAAAGTAATGACATCTGCGGAGTTCCTCCTGCAATTCTTGCGTGCACAACTGCGATCAGGCTGAGATTCTGGCTGGGCCGCTGTTTAAAAGCAGCTTTCGACGTCGAGCCCTCGCCTCCCAATCCGGCCCATGAGCAAGGTCCGAAGTCAGTTACAGGACCTATTTTGGGCTTGCGGCCTAACGCGGGTGGAATTCGTCTCAGTCTCGCCTCCGGGTCGGTTGCAAACATCGGTACCTCGCCGGCCGCGGAGCGTCTTCGGCAGAGCGTCGTCCCACGCTCCACACCTCCTCAGGCCCGAGGTCGGCTCCAGGCGCTGGCCTTGATGGGAAGAAGGCGACGGAATGCAAGGCATTTGGCCGCAGAAAGGGCGCCTCCTCCATCCTCGCCGGCGCGGCTTGGAACCTCTCCTTCTCAGCTACATGTTCGCTCAAAGCATACCGGGCCGACATCTCCTATTTTTGGTGTCTGACACAGTCTCAGGAGATGCAGCCGAACTCAGAACTTGATCCACATCCTCTCTGCCTTCGCTGAAGAAATTGCACCCCTGTTCTAGTGAAATTCTCGACTGTCAATCAAGGCTACCTAAGCCTATTGCACACCAAGCAGAATGAAGAAAAAGGACAAGTGCACGCTTTGCTCCTGCCACCTCTTCTAAGAGCACGGTGGCTCCTGCAACAGCTCGATGCTAGGAGCTGCGTGCGCCGAGATCCAGCAACAATTCACATGCTGTGTCCTGGGAGTGGACGGTGCTCGGCTAGATGCGCAGGCAACCGACCTCCAAGGTTGAACTCAGCCAAACGCATGTTCGGTCTTTGTCTGAGCGACAGACACCCAGCAAGATTCCGTACCGCAAAGAAAGTCCTCCACACTCCCATGGTATGCTACACTTCACCCCCGGCAGCCAGGGCACAGTCGCGCCTTGCCAGTTCAGTTGTCACCATCGCACTGGCCTGTAGCGCGCATGCAGAGGCGAGCGCCATCTGCGTTTGGCATAAGGCTCTTTTCTGAGAGAGATGCCACCATCGCTGCAGCCATCACAGGAAAACGTCTGTAAGCACCTTCATTGCAACGACTGCCTCATGTCCCTACATGCTGCGAACAGTGGTTCAATTGTCATGCTGGCGCGTTGCGCCGGCAAGGACCTAGGACTAAGTGTAGGCCAGGAATCCATGGATACAAGTCGTGACGCAGGAGACGATTCTGAAGAAGCTAGGTATGCTGGAAGTTTAGATACAGATATCAGGACACCCTGCTCGGGAAAAGCCTCAAGACTTAAGGTGTACAAGACTTTCGACAGATGCCTGACTGGGAAAACTACCAGAGTGCAGCGTGTCTGTTGCTGAAGTTCTGATCCAGGGCACTGCTGCCGCGGCTTGCGCGTGGTGCCCACACCTGCCCAGAGCTTCATGAACCCAGGCGACCACTTGGCGCAAGCGTCAGAGGCAGGCGGCGACAAAAGAATGAAAGCGCTTGATTGTGGACCTAACTAAGTCCGGTCCAGCACAAGCTGGCCTGGACTTGCAGCCATGGCGTCAAGCTCCGCATGGCTCATGCCGACCTTCACGGCTTAGGCTACTTGCCAAGCTTTGGTCTCCGGTGCCTTTCACGTTGGAAATTCTACCTACGAGTACCATAAATCGCTGCGACGCCCGTAGGATCCTGCACTGGATCATCTGCAGCGGCTCCACACAGGCCAGCATCTTGTGCACTCAAACAAGCTGCCTGCTGAGAGGCAGGTCCTGAGTTGATGAAGCTATGCGTGCAATTACATCAGACGACCCACAGAATCAAGGATAAGACAACGATCCTGTTCCGAGGAATCCCCACCAGCTCGAAGCTGCAATTTTGCTCTGTCCAGGTGCCAAAGCTCCTCTTCTGTCATGTGTTCGTATCCTCAAGCTAGAGGTGCCAAACTCTCGTCTTGAGAGAATCCTTCTAGCAGTTAAAGACCTGCTCTTCGGAGTTCGAAGCCAACGTATTCCAGTGGTTGACGTCCGCTTTGGGACGTCGCAGAGCAGCTATAGAGGTCTTCAGGAGAATCTCAGTCTCTCACCTGGAAATACCTTGAAACGGGAAGGCGGCAGCCTGAGGTCCAGAAGCCCTGGTCCAGGTTCAAATCCCGCACAGCGGTCTTTCTCGAAACATCTTCGGAGGCTCATGGCGAAACACAGGCCGGCTGCTGGCAGCGCATCGTTACGAGGCTGCAGACTCAAAGCTGCTGTGCTAACTGGGACACTCCGTACTCCCCACGCTGTAGGTGTAGGGAGCTGGTTTAAATGGTGTCGACTGTCTGAGTGATGTGTCAAACCAACGGGGGCCATGGGGGGCCAAAGCTAACACGGAAGGCTTTTTGCAGTGAGACACAAAGCTGCAAAGCTGGCCCCCGTCCTGCCGCTGTATGTCCAGGCCTAGGTGTTGCCTAGGCATCCTGGCAAAATCTCGGAAACTCCTAATTTCAGAGACGGCCTGGGAGGTACCTGGGACTCGATGGGCAGCCACAGAGGCTTTTTGAAGCATCAGATCTTGCTGGCACTAGTTGAGAAGAGTGCTTCCGCAAGGCCTCCTGCAGACTCCCCCAGTTCCAGCAACCAAGGCAAGTCAACGGGGCCATCGAGATGAACGAAGATCGCTCAATACGAAAAGGGTTCTAAGCTTCACGAAAACCGTGTGGCCCAAGGTGTTGCCTACATCCTGCCTTGGCGGTTTGTTGGCGCTGCCGCCGTGGTGGAAAACTGCAGCTCATGCTTTTGAAGACAACAAGCGGGGATCTAAGTCCTTATCAAAAGCACCCGATAAAGCAGAGTTGCAATGCGTTTGCAAGACAAGCATATTCTGCTGCCTGCAGCATCTCACTTCATCTCAAACACTGCCTTTCGGTCACTTCTGCTCAAGCTGCTGACTGCCTGGGGTCGCAGCACAGACAGCAGCACCAAGCAATCACTGCAGCTGGCCCACTGCTGCAACTGACGAATATGCACATTCGTGGAAAAATGAAGCCACAGTGAAACCCGGGCAAACGAACGGCTAATGAAGCTTTGTAGCACTTGCAGCACCTTCGAGGCTTGCGAGGCTTGCCCCTGTCACGGCGACCGATGCTGAAGTCTGACATCAAAAAGGCTCAACCGCTTAACGGCAAAACCGGCTTGCGGCCTGGAGCTTGGCAACAGCTTGCTTGGCCGCTTCGGCATCCTTAGCCGCCTTAGCCTGCACGCCACAACATGCTCAGGTCCAGTCCAGCTGATTCCTGGCAGCGGCTTGGCAGAAACACGGCCTCCGTCTGCAGAGCTTGGCGTACACGTTCCTGGCAAAGCTCGTAAACCCAGACTTCCCAAAGCCCTACAAAACCCCGAAACCCCTAGCAGTAGCGCCTGTGCCGCCGATGCTTCAGCAAGCAGCAAGGCGGCCTCGATGCCGGGCGGCACTTGCGAACGTCTTTTTATGGGCCTAGGAATGGTGTGCTGCCTGCTCCGAGCTCGCACTCTGTGCTTGCTGGACTGCCTTCAACTCTTCCAGCTTTGCCTCCTTTGAGGCAAATCCAGCATTGGGTCTTCTTCCCCTTGTTACTTGTTTGGCTCCGATGTCCTCAACGAGCTGCTTGGCAAAAGCCGCTTCTCGCTGTGCCTGGACCGAAATTGACGTGGAAGACCTTGCGAAGCTCCCGCAGCGGCCCAGCCTGCGCCTCGGCGTTTCGGGCCTGGGCAAGCGCGAGAGATCGCGAGAGGACATGCAAAGCTGGGATCCGGCCTTCTGGATCTCTGCCTCCATCGCAGTTCTCTGCGCCTCACCATGCCAAGTTGGTCAGCTTGGAAGAAGCACGGCTCACTAGGATGGGGAACGCAAAGCGACCCGGCACCCACCCCTGCCTGCTCTGCACGCACTGACTCCTCGGCCTGTGGAGAGGGCGCATGCACGTGGTGCCGTTAGCATGTCTCCTTCCATGGTTGAGCTTCGCATAATTTCGCATAGCTTCACTGAAGCTGATAGAGTTGGTATGCCGGGAGATCAGGAGTCTGGGGGCCAGTGCAAGCTTGAGCTCCGGGCCTTGATCCCCAAGGCCTGTGCCTCAGCCGCAGCCTCACGGGCGCGCTCCTGCACCAGGAAAGAGTATGCCAGAAGCCTCACCTGGCCTGTTGCCCAAGGAATCCATGTCTATAGTCTGCCGACTTTGGCCTGGAAGGTTGCGAGATATTTGCCCAACTCCACCTTTTCCTTCTCCTTCTCCTGGAAGTAGGCCTGCTGTCTCAGGTAACACGACTTGTAACATGATCAAAGCAAGCTTCTGAATTCGAAACAGTCCAAAGGCAGACTAGGAATCAGAGCCTGCTTTCAGGGGTCTATGATCACTATTCTCATCCTACAGCTTGAACCTGAGGACTTCAGACCTATGAGCGGCACATACCCCTTTGAAAAATCATGGAGGCAAAGGGCTGCTGCAATTTACGGACTCGATGGAGGGTTACGGTACAGCAGTCAGCAGCTCTCGCAGGGAAGGTTGGAGCCACTTCAGAGCCTGTCAGCTCTCCAATAATCTGAAACTGGGTGCACGGGATGTCAAAGAGTAACACAAACATGCTGAACCGAGTGTGCTTCCTTGCAGACTGCGACACATCTCACTTCGACACCAAGCCTGCATCCGCTGTATGTCCGCTGCTAGCCTGACGTTGTCATCCTCACACTCTTGCAGTCGATACCTTGCCGAAGAGCACAAGACTGGGCTGCACTAAGGGCTCATAACCTCAAGCTCAGATCAGAGCGAAAGGACTTTCTCGTTCTGAGCCTGGTCCTCGAGCAGGGTTATCCGCTCCTGGCAGGGTATGTGATTGACCGAGCTGTGTGTGAGACTTATCGTCTGATTCTTCGCGCACAGTCCGCAAACCCTGAGCCATTCGCAAGCCATAAACGGAGCCCGCCCCATGCAGCGGTAGCTGCGCCTTCAAATTCTTCTCATCTGCTTCCATCAAAGGAATGATCTGTTCCAGAGCCTGCTGCCTGAAGCGGTGGTCAGGGACAGGCCAGACTCGCTCCGACCCGTTTGAGCTCTAGCAAACTCTAGCCAAGATCTGATCTGCCAGCTCGGACCTGTGGTCGGTCTTCTTCAACGTCTCCTGCCCACTGCCCCGTTTTTCATTGCAAGGTTGAAGGCAGGGGCCAAGATTCACTGGCGGTCGCCTGAATGCGCTGCTCACGCACCAAGGCTGCTGCCTTCTCCTGTCGTCATGCGCGAGGCAAACGAGGGGTTATGTTGGCTTTCCTAGCTCCTGCTGCAGCCGCTTCTGTTCTGTCGACAAGCCTTAGAAATCAGCGAATGGAAAAGCTGCAAACTGGCGAGGTTGTGGAACAAAATCTAAGGGCCACACGTTGCGAATCAGCTTGCGCGATCTGCAAGCGACTCGACAGTTCCTATCAGCACGTGTCCAAGGTTGTGGAGAACATCCGAGCACGCAAAATGCCTGGTTCTTGTTGTTCTGCACACGGAGCAAGTTCTCGGCAGCTTGCACCTGCAAAGTAGCGAACGGGGAATCGACACTCCACGGTGTGCTGACGTGTTTCCGTTAGGCCAGCCCATTGCAGGACACCTTCTGAGTCAGCGCGAGGATCTGTTCTTTGCAAGTGCGAAGTTCAGCCTGCACCTGACCCGACAGATCGAGGCAGACGTACACAATCAGTCAGTTCAAAGGCCTCTCCGCTGAACTGCAGGGCTGACTGAAGCCTGGCGGATGGGGGGACAGAAGGGGTGACGCTTGGGCGTAACTCTCCAAACATCTGAGACCCAAGCGCGGTCTGCTTCGTCTGCAGCACGTTGCGAAGGTTTTGCTCCTGTCAGCCAAAGCATTGGCATGATGCCGCCCTGTCGGCAGAATGCAGACAAACTGAAAGGCAGAAACATGCCCACAAGCCCCCCAAGGCTTCCTTGTTTGTAGCATCTCTGTTCTCTGCCTGGCGAATTTGGCATGTGCTGATACACACCACAGCTGAGAGGAGGTAGGTTGTTGAGAGACCTTAAGCCTCACACGGTTCTCGGTTGCCGAAACCTGTTTGGCTTGCGCCCATGCTAAGACTCTTGTTCGCAATAACTTTTTCGAAGGCAGCCTCCTTTGAGAGACGCAAGACGCAAGCAAGATCAAACACGTGAGCGCACCTGGCGAGTTTCTTCCAGCTCCCTCGCAGACAGCTGGAAAATTCACACGTCACTCTGAATCAAGGTTTCCTACAACATGACTGGCGCCTGACACTTTGCTGCAACCGAGACGTCGCCATAGTAAGCTGGTCCAGTTTCACCTGCCACAACAGTCACGACTCCGACCAGAGCGAAAACAAGGGTAGAAGTGGTTCTGCCTCCTTCTCCTTTGCTTCGCCTTCGAGCTGCGAAATCTTAGCAGCATTCTTCTTCTCCACTTCCCTGCGGTTGCAAAGGAGACCTATCACCTGCCTATCACTGCCAAAGACAGCAGAGCAGGCTCTTCGACGGAGATCATTAGAGTCAGAAAGTCTTAATGTTCCTTATCGCATGACATGATCTCCAAGACACCTCAAGTGACTAGTCCACCCGCCGACCCGCTTTCAGGAATCGATGTTGCACGCTGTCCCCTCTGCTGCAGAGCCACATCAGGTTGCGCTCAAGCGCAGTCACTTCTTCCTGCAGCTCGTGGCAATTGTCCTCAAGGTCGCGTCAGCTTCGGTGCTGCCACACCCTCTGTAACAGTAGACTCTGCTTGCGCTCTGGTCCCAAA